AATCTATATTTCCGACTAAACGGACTCTGACAGATGCATAACCTCTCTTTCGCAGTGTCTACTGTCTGAAACGTCAAACGTAGATATAATACGATGATGTCTTGTTACGTACAATCGCTCTCATTGCTCTTCCTCGCCGATTCGGAGGCGTACAAACCGGGAAATTCTTTCTCGACATCCGGACTCTCGAAGTCCATTCTCTCCCTCAACAGATGTGCATTTGACACTTGCTTGTTGTGTCAACTCGAAATCTCGAATTTGTTCAAGATAAATCGATTATCGATATCTCTCGCCCCTATCGATTCAGTACAACAGCACTAACCGTTTATAAATTCGCGAGATACTACACGCTGCATACGCTACGTAAAGTTGAGATCTTTTTATATATAAAATAACATGAAATATATATTTAAGATGCGACAAGTAAGTGTCAAATGCACACCTGTCAAGAGGAGATGGACTTCGAGAGAGAATGGACATCGAAAGAAAATATGGACGACGAGATGAGAGTCTGCGGATGCCGAAAAAAAATTTTATTGAGGTTTGTACACGAATTTTGGCAAGGAGAGATAGCAATATTTTATTTTTATATACATACGATATTAAATATTAAACAGTTTTGTATAGCAAAAATTCGCATATAATAATATAAATAAAAGAAGAAAAATAATAAGTATAATAAAAATTGCTTTATAACAAATAAAATACTAAAAAAATACTTTGATTTAATCATCTGTGCGTAAAAGGTTGACACTGCTGTAATATTTTAATGAATTTATGAATTTTAATAAATATATATAATACTTTCTACTTGATGTAAGATCCAATATCACATAAATATAAGCAAAATATGTTATCGATATAAGACTATTGATGCAACTAAATAATTTTAAAATATTTAAATTACTGCATGGAGAAGTATATGTCTCAAAATACTTTAATTAAATATTTGCATTCTTAATGAATATGAATTTTTATATAATATTGCTTTCTGCATACTTTAAATCCTATCATATACATACAAACATATTCACACACAAACTGACACATATTGAGATGTACGCATCGCATTTTCACTCGAATTCAAAATTATTTTGTTAGTAGTGCTACTCGTAGAACAGAAATATAAAAATATGTTGTCTTGAGGATGTTTATCATTGTTTCGCGATTAACGTAGAAAAATTTTCCACCAGTTAACCGAAACGGAATGCTTAAATTCATTATTGCGAAGTGCATGTCCTTCTTCAGCGTTAAAGGAAGCGTAAACCAGGAAGTTGCGTATATCGCATAAAATATACCTTCACTTTCCCTTTGCAACAAATCACCACCATTAGTAAAGGAGTAATTATTATGTCGCTGTCAAGGGAATGTTTCTGAAATTTATATATATTAACAATATTAATAATTTTAAATTAGATTAGCTAAACTATCCTAGTCTTGCTTAAGTAAGCAATTTGATTGGCAGTGTCTGATTTACATTGTGCGCAACTGAGACATCTTTTTATAAAGCAATGCCTACCTCAAAATTAAGAGCGGCAGTGTGGCTCAGTGGTAGAGCGCCAGACTCGTAACTCGCAGATCGCGGGTTCGAGTCCACTGAAGTCATGGAAATATTTTTCCGCGCTGCGCTCACCATTGGGATCGGAGAGATCTCGGTTGGAAAACTGGGCTCACGTCTCCTCTGGGAACTGATTTGTGAATTATCAATATTCACATTCTTCAGGAATGCCAGACATTCCACTGGCACATCCAGGTGTTAAAAATTCTAATAAATCTTCTCGCAAGGGCTTGCATCCAAAATTATTGGTGGTCCTCCACCAATACTTTTTGCATAACTTTTGTATGTATCTACCCTTTTTAATAAATTAGATTTCCAGTCACGCCATATCTGTAATACAAAAATAATAACAATAATATGAAATTATGTAAAATTAGACAAGAGCTCCTTTTTGGAATGCTTGTCGTGGATGCCTTCATCACTAACTACATTATAAAAATTATTAATGACCTTGTGGTATCATAAATATTTAGAATTAATATGAGAGATAGTGAGAGAAGGAGGAAGGAAGAGAAAAAGAGGTACAAATCTATAATATTTCCGACTAAACGGACTCTGACAGATGCATAATCTCTCTTTCGCAGTGTCTACTGTCTGAAACGTCAAACGTAGATATAATACGATGATGTCTTGTTACGTACAATCGCTCTCATTGCTCTTCCTCGCCGATTCGGAGGCGTACAAACCGGGAAATTCTTTCTCGACATCTGGACTCTCGAAGTCCATTCTCTCCCTCAACAGATGTGCATTTGACACTTGCTTGTTGTGTCAACTCGAAATCTCGAATTTGTTCGAGATAAATCGATTATCGATATCTCTCGCCCCTATCGATTCAGTACAACAGCACTAACCGTTTATAAATTCGCGAGATACTACACGCTGCATACGCTACGTAAAGTTGAGATCTTTTTATATATAAAATAACATGAAATATATATTTAAGATGCGACAAGTAAGTGTCAAATGCCCACCTGTCAAGAGGAGATGGACTTCGAGAGAGAATGGACATCGAAAGAAAATATGGACGACGAGATGAGAGTCTGCGGATGCCGAAAAAAAATTTTATTGAGGTTTGTACACGAATTTTGGCAAGGAGAGATAGCAATATTTTATTTTTATATACATACGATATTAAATATTAAACAGTTTTGTATAGCAAAAATTTGCATATAATAATATAAATAAAAGAAGAAAAATAATAAGTATAATAAAAATTGCTTTATAACAAATAAAATACTAAAAAAATACTTTGATTTAATCATCTGTGCGTAAAAGGTTGACATTGCTGTAATATTTTAATGAATTTATGAATTTTAATAAATATATATAATACTTTCTACTTGATGTAAGATCCAATATCACATAAATATAAGCAAAATATGTTATCGATATAAGACTATTGATGCAACTAAATAATTTTAAAATATTTAAATTACTGCATGGAGAAGTGTATGTCTCAAAATACTTTAATTAAATATTTGCAATCTTTATGAATATGAATTTTATATAATATTGCTTTCTGCATACTTTAAATCTTATCATATATATACAAACATATTCACACACAAACTGACACATATTGAGATGTACGCATCGCATTTTCACTCGAATTCAAAATTATTTTGTTAGTAGTGCTACTCGTAGAACAGAAATATAAGAATATGTTGTCTTGAGGATGTTCATCATTGTTTCGCGATTAACGTAAAAAAATTTTCCACCAGTTAACCGAAACGGAATGCTTAAATTCATTATTGCGAAGTGCATGTCCTTTATCAGCGTTAAAGGAAGCGTAAACCAGGAAGTTGCGTATATCGCATAAAATATACCTTCACTTTCCCTTTGCAACAAATCACCACCATAAGTAAAGGAGTAATTATTATGTCGCTGTCAAGGGAATGTTTCTGAATATATATTAACAATATTAATAATTTTAAATTAGATTAGCTAAATCTATCCTAGTCTTGCTTAAGTAAGCAATTTGATTGGCAGTGTCTGATTTACATTGTGCGCAACTGAAACATCTTTTTATAAAGCAATGCCTACCTCAAAATTAAGAGCGGCAGTGTGGCTCAGTGGTAGAGCGCCAGACTCGTAACTCGCAGATCGCGGGTTCGAGTCCACTGAAGTCAGGGAAATATTTTTCCGCGCTGCGCTCACCAATTGGGATCGGGGAGATCTCGGTTGGAAAACTTGGGCTCTCACGTTCGCAAACCAGTTCTCTCAGAGTGCAAAATTTTTCAAGAAAGATTAATTTTCACTGTGTCCCCTCGAGGTTTATTAGAATTTTCAACCCCTGATGCGCTATAGTGGAATGTCTGTGGCATTCTTGAAGAATGTGTTATTGGTGATTCTCGCCCTCACAAGATTATTCAATTTTTTAACGAAGTTGCCATCCCGAAAAAATTTTGCTTTCCATGGTCAATCAAACATGGTCAATAACAGATTTTTTCTCCAATTTTATCCTTTTCTCCTCCCTTTTCTAACCTTTTTGGACCCACTGTTTAACGTCTCTTCCGAAAGAGACGTTAAACAGTGGGTCCAAAAAGGTTAGAGAAGGGAGGAGGAAAGGATAAAATTGGAGAAAAAATCTGTAAACCTCGAGGGGACACAGTAAAAATTCCTAATTCCTACCTCAAAATTAATCTCTCTTGAGAAATCTTGCACTCTCTGAGAACTGGTTTGCGAACCTTGTAGTAAAGACTTCTTGATCATTTGCCAGCTGGAAGTTGTTTGTATATTATGTTCCGGTATATTGTGAAGTCTTTTCAGTAGCTAAGGGTTGAGTTGAAAAAGAATTTGATTGACCATGGAAAGCAACATTTTTTCGGGATGGCAACTTCGTTAAAATTGAATAATCTTGTGAGGGCGAATCATCAATAGCTCCTCCTTCAGGAATGCCAGACATTCCACTAGCATCAGGGGTTAAAAATTCTAATAAATCTATCTATCAGTGAGCTAACAGTGAGAGAGAGAGAGAGAGAGTGAGAGAGAGAGAGAGAGAGAGAGAGAGAGGGGGTCTAATATGCATATCGATAATTTTTGCTATTTATTTGTGAATTGTTTTTATTAAACCAAATACGAAAATAAATATTTAAAAAGTTGAAATTATGTTTTTTAATGTATATATTTATTAATTTAATTAACACGAATGTTACATGTAAAATACCCATTATTTCAGCTTCAACCAACAATATTTTGCTTTTTTTTACTGAGACCGATATACAGATATACATGTATGTTTCATGATTCCAAGCATCCCGATCACGACAAATAGTATAGCTTTTAAGCCTATATCTGCGTTCTGATTGCTCGATGTAAGATCCAATATCATAAATATAGGCAAAATACGTTATCGATATAAGACTATTGATGCAACTAAATAATTTTAAAATATTTAAATTACTGCATGGAGAAGTGTATGTCTCAAAATATTATACTTTAATTAAATATTTGCATTCTTTATGAATATGAATTTTTATATAATATTGCTTTCTGCATACTTTAAATCTTATCATATACATACAAACATATTCACACACAAACTGACACATATTGAGATGTACGCATCGCATTTTCACTCGAATTCAAAATTATTTTGTTAGTAGTGCTACTCGTAGAACAGAAATATAAGAATATGTTGTCTTAAGGATGTTCATCATTGTTTTGCGATTAACGTAGAAAAATTTTCCACCAGTTAACCGAAACGGAATGCTTGACTTCATCATTGCGAAGTGAATGTCCTTCATCAGCGTTAAAGGAAGCGTATACCAAGACGATGCGTATATCGCATCAAATATACCTTCACTTTCCCTTTGCAACAAATCACCACCATAAGTAAATATCATTGCTTCTATTAAATAAAAGATTACATCTAGAGCATTTTTCACTACTTCAATGTAATTGTTTTCCATTAGGCAGCAAATTATACGTAATCCTAAATGTAAATCTTTGTTTTAGAAATAGAATAGGCGACAAAATATATTTAATGTAACATGTACGATTAATTTTATAAATAAAATAAAAAAAAAGTATATATATATATATATATATTTATATATTTATTATAAATATATATCTATTTTTAAATATATATATTTTTTATATAAGTTAATTACATTATATTTACATTATGCAGTATATTTACATTTTAAATAAATTCATGCAATATAAAAAATAAAATTTTTTCATATATTACCTATGAATGCAAGCACAATCGTCACCGTCACGAGTTCGATTAGTATAAAAAGATTGAAGGAGTCTTCCAAATTTTGATAAAATTCTATTAGCTTGCTGTGCCTGTTAATCAGGCCAATGAATTCTTTTCGATAATTTGCCTCTGTGTTTGGCTTGTTTGCGAATGTTTGAAATTTGTTTTTGAGCACCTCGAGCTGACCAGCGAAATGCATGGTGACGTTGAAGAAAAAACTACTTTCGATAAATAGCGCCGAACACCCTATAACTCCTTGCACAAGTTGAATGGCAAGGATTATAACATATTGCGAACCAGTAATCGATTTACTCAATTGGTCACATGGAATCAAGAATATCCAATTTGTTGTATTAGCTGCACACCATGAGAATACAAAATATAAAAATAATGTTGCTTATGTAACATCTCAATATACAATTGAATTTAAGAAATTGAGCAAATGAAAAATAATAATATACCGATAAATATAGAAACAATTTTTATACCATTCAATAAATTCGAATCCGTGAAGAATATCTGCTTCAGATTTTTAAATAGGACTACTAATGTGTAAACAGAAAAACGTCCAGCGATCGAATATAGTAACATAAAAGTCAGTACTCTGGCTATATAAGCATATTTTTTCATAATCTTTCGAGTTTCCTTGTCATTCTTAACAGACAGCCAATCGTCGATAGCACCATTAATGTTTATATTTAGTTTTTTTTGACTGAGACCGATACACAGATATTTCATGATTGCAAGCATCACGCCCACGCCAAATAGTAGATTTTCTATGCCTGTATTTACGTTCTGATTGCTCGATGTAAGATCCAACATCATATAGGGTATTATCATAATCTAAATAATAATTTTTTGACTTAAAAGTTTATGTACGTGTGCGTAAATATTGATAAGCATAACAATAAGAAACAACTTTTGTAGTTTATAATAAAGCATAAAATAGCAGATAGAAATTAAAATGAAAATTAGTAAAAAAAGAAATCTATTTTTTCACTATTATAAATAAAATCTTGAAACTATTTTGCATATGTCAATTCTCTTTTCTTATATATATTTCATTCAGCTGACATGCATTAACGTACCAGCGCAATAAGACAGAAGCCCCATCGTGTCCTCGTGAATAGCGTCTGCGTTTGCAGTGGCCACATGCCGTGTATTCGTGAGAATATTCTATCAATGGAGAAGACATAGGCGATGTCGTCGTTCCAACGTTCGGTCGACATGATGGGATAGAAACACCTCGAATGACTGCCCCATTCGAAAGCACTTTGTTCAGTAGTTGTAAATAAAATTTTGTCAATTTAATGTCGTTCAATTTATAGTTATTTCATCAAGCATTATCGTGTGAATTATCAACCGTGTGTCGTTAACTTATTACCTCGATTAACTTAATATTTTATTAGTCTGTACTGTGAACTAATTACCTCGATGAACTAATATTTTATTAACCTGTACTTTGTACTCTTTTTAGGCAGGTAAGATAAGTGTGAAAAATATCGATGTCTCTCTCTCTACACTGCCAATTCATGCGTAACAGCGAAGAATTTGATAAGGAACATATATATTTTTATCCACGTGTCGATTAAAATGTAGAAATGTGCCTATTGACATTGATTTGGTTACAATGGTGGTAAATATAAACATTCATTCTTCGATTATGCTATATTCTTTTCTAATGTTTGGCAAAAACATTATTGATATATCATACAAGTTTGTTGATGCGTATACAAAATGAAATAAATAATGAAAAGAAAATTATGCGCACAATCGAAGATACCTCAGTCACAATTTAAAACCGTGTGTGATCAACCGTATTATTTCTTATTCTTTCATCTTTACTCTGAGGACGAAGAGGTAGGAGCCTGTAGCTTTCAAGATCTCTTTGAAGGAAAATTAATTTATAGGTAGGCATTTTCCGGTTGTTATTTGATGAGAAATCATTCCTCGAAACATTATCATTGGCAGATTTTTCATTATTTTCACGTCGAAATCGTACCACTAATTGTCGTAAGCACTATACGCGATTTTTTCTACTTATAGATTTCAATTGATGCCAGCGTAGCAATAGAAGTACAGTCGCACTAGAATATTCAAAATCAAGACATGTTTGATCACTGCGATTTTATTATTTATTGTAATGTTAACGAAATTAACAATTGCATGCCTGAAAGTAAATCTTAAAATATTATATATAAATATATGTTCTTATATTCGTGTCAATAATTTAATAATATATAATGTTTATAGTAAAGTAAAATATAAATAGAGAGTATTACTGTGTTTATGAAAAATTTTAAACTTTAAAGAATTTTTAAATATTTATTAATAATAAGTTTAGCAGCTTTTAATGAATGGACAAGTTTGCTTTTCGAACTTCTTTAGCTTCGAAATATTTAAATGTTTTTACTTTGAATTATTTATTTTAATTTTTTTTTTACCTTTTTAAAAAAATTCTATTAGAAATTTTTATTTAAAGTCTCAATACATTAAGTTTTTTAGTATTTAATGTTTTTTATATTTTTATAATTTTAAATTTTGAAGCAATAAAATAATGAAGTTGTATAAAAAAACCTAAATAATTTAATCGTAGATTACAGTATGCAATTATAACAATATATAGTATTAGAATTTCTTGGATATATGTATATTTCATTAAATTGCATTGAAGGTGTTTTACTTTTTTTTACTTTTTTTATCCATTTTTAACCTTTTACGGTTTAGTTCAATTAAAATTGCATATTTGTTATGTACTTTAATGATAGTTTATTTATATAAAAAAATGTAGCTCGATATCTTAATATTTATGGAGTTAGAGTCCCCATTTTTTAAAAATTTAAATTGCATTAAAATTTAAAACAATATACAAATTTTTATAAAAATGACAGTAAATAAGTACGTTGTATTGTTTTAATTGTTATTCAAATTGGAGCGCTGTAAGTAAAAGACTTTTTTAGATATTTTCCACCAGATATTATGTTTAAAAAAATATATTACAAAAAATATTATAAAATTAAAGAAAAACTGAGTTATTGTTTGAATAATAATAAGTATAAATATCTGAGTTTGATAATTTATGTGCCTATGAATAAATTTAGACATAAATATAATAAATAAATAACAAGAATCAATTTTTTTTAATTGAACGGTGCAAATGCGAAATAATTAACATCAACTAAATAATTTTAAAATATCTAAATTACTACTTGAAGAAGTGCATGTCTCAAAAATATTTTAATTAAATATTTGCATTCTTTACAATATAAATCCTTATATTAACATTGCTTTCTACATCACAGAAAAAACAATATCCTTGAAAGAATGCAAATATTTATCCTTAAAACAAAGTGCAAAATATTCTTGGTTAAAGCTGAAATTTAAGAAATATTTTATTGTTTAGCGGTTCCGTTTTGATTCTAGAGGATTTGACTCTTATATACGGTCTCAAGAAGATACTCTACAATCTAGCAAAATATCCTCTGATCAAGAGATACTGGATTTAAGATTATAATTCTCTTAATGCTAGAGTATGTCTTCTTTTTATTAATTTAATAATATTTTTATGTAAAACATTTAAAACAATACTTTAAGACAAGTATCCTCTACTTTCAACCTTACTGAGTATTAATTTAAAACTCAAATAATTTTATTTATAGAATATTAGTTTTTTTTTCAAGAGGAATCTTCTTGCTCGCTCTCTCTCTCTCTCTCTGTTTCACACATACACACGTATAAATTTTTAAATATTTTCAGTTACTTTTTTAAACCACGTAATCTTGAAATAAAAATTATTTCAAGCAGTTACGTAGTTTTTAAAAGTAATTAAAAAAATACATATATGTATCGTAAAAAATCATATAATTAAGCATATAATTTTACAAGAATATATATGAAATAGGTATATTTGTTTTTTTAATGAAAAAGATTTGAAAATTACATGTTTACAAAAAAATTACATGCACTTCTACATTAAATAATAAATTTCTAGAAGTATTGATTTCCAAAGTATTTCTTCTGCTAAAAAATTCAGCTTGATCACCCCATTTAGGCAATAGTTCCTCAGTTTTTTTAGTTGATACTAAAAGTAATCGATCTATGGTAGTTATTGCTTCGCCTAAAGACACAGAGCATCATATATAATTATAAAGTATTAATTATAAAAAGTTAAAAAAAAATAGAAGACTCAAAACCTGTGTGTGTGTGTGTGTGTGTGTGTGTGTCTTATGTTTAATTATACACTCGCTTCGTGTGCCAAACTTTCGCGGCATCATTGTTTCGCGATTAACGTAGAAAAATTTTCCACCAGTAAACCGAATGCTTGACTTTATTATTGCGAAGTGCATGTCCTTCATCAACGTTAAAGGAAGCGTAAACCAGCACAGAAAAAAAGGAATCCTTGATTCAAGTATATTTTTATTCTTGAACGCTATTTGATTGATTTAAGCATAGAATGCTCTTTGTAATCACAAATTTTCATTTGCCTTAATAATAAATAAGTTTGTGTAAAGTATATTTTATTCTTAAGATATATTCTTGTTTTAAAAATCGCAAAATCGCATATGGTAAAAACAAACTTAGTCACATTTGAACTAAGAATTATTATATATATTTGAAAGTACCGCTTATATCCGATGCACACTTGTCACTTGTCTTTGCAATATTTATAAGTAAATTTCAGCTTCAACTAACAATAAGAATATTTTGCACTTTGTTTTAAGTATAAATTATCTTTTATCCAAAATTATTTATATTTGACGCTATTATAAGGATAAAATATACTTGAATCAAGGCATATTTGCATTCTCTCAAGGATACTGTTTTTTCTGTGAATATAACTATACAATGTAATATATGTTATATTAAAATGTTACATCTATGAGTGGGAAATTACAACTAACATGGATGTTACATGTAACGTACACGTTATATTACTTGTTATATTCCGTTTTATTATAGCAATGTAACAATTATATATCGGTGTTTGCTGGGTTTTTTCCTTTTCTTTGTCGTGACAATGCGAGAATCGTATCAAAATTTAAATTTTTTTCTTGACGAAAACTGTAAATTAATTTTAATTTCCATACATGGACGTCCGCATAGGGGAATCAAAAAGTTTAGCATTTATTGCTTCTCCTTTTGAATATACACTGGAATTTGTTTGCATATTTAATATAAAAAAATAACAAAAAAATTAAGTTAAAAAAAATTTTTTATGAATTTAAAAAATAGAATAAAATATATAAGAAAAAAATTTTGCGGACACCCATACCTCCATACGATATTGAATCTCGACATCACTGCACATTATGTAACTTTGTTATCGTCTTCGTACAGTATAGGTGAAAATACAGAAACGCTCCAACATGTACCATATATTTCGTAATTGCTTATGTAGGTCACACGAAACTGGTTTCTTCGTAATTTTACATTGCATACCTTCGATAATTTCGTCACATTTAATCCGATGTAATGCCTCGGTCGAACATTCATCTGACATTGCCATTGGAATTTGCCCTCAATTACTCGAAATGAGAATATTTCCTAGATATTATAATTATCTAAAAAAATTTAATTGTGGAATTTTATTCTGAAATATTAGCATTAAAATTTGCAGTAACTTATATGGTTTAATTAATATTTTTTTTCAAATATTTTACAATTGTCACAATTATTATTTATTTTACAACTTTTCCAATTTTCTTATTTGTATTTTAAAATTGATCAGATAAAGGAAAGTAACAACTCTTAAATAGAATTAATTAAATTTTTATTACAGAATAACATCAAAACACTTGAGAAATGTACACATTTCACAGCAAAAGTTTATAAATATATTTTATACTTTATGTACGCTTCAGTTTAAATCAAGTTACATCGATTACATTTACATATTGCATATCGTAAGCATACGTGTATTTCTAAAGATTACGTCAATTGATATCGTAGAAAACATATATATATTTACAATTTGTGTATACATAACAAGTTAACATCGACAATTTGTATATACATAAATTGACATTATAACAAATTATCATAAAGACAACAATTTTAACATCAACAAATTGCAATGGTACTTTCTATTTTTTATTAAACACGCATGACAAGCGGTCGACCTTGTCGATTTTTCTTTCAATCACTTTAGCAAGTCAGAAGAGACCACAGAGATCGAATAATTCGATCTCACGATTAGTAGTTAAGTGAATTTTCGAGCAATAAACACGAATCGATATATCTCTCTTCGAATCATTTCATTAAAATTTTACTTTATCACTCAAGTATCAGCTCGCATTTTCAACAAATTTTGTTAAAAGCGAAAAGCAACAACGCCATTAAAAGCACGATCCATAACAAGTATTTTTATTTATTAAATAAAAAAAAGGATATAGGATTGATTTTTAGTGATCATCTATAATAAGTGTCCCATTTAAATTAGTTCGTCTATTTCAATTTCGTATACAATCGAAGATGTTTCAAAAATATAGGTACATATAATAGAAAGATTTGAATGATAAAAAAATATATAAGTTTGAAACGCATGAAAAAGCATGAGAAAACTTTTCGACTATCCTACATCTGTTGAAGATTTCTTTAAGATTACGTCTTAAAAGAGTGAGATTGAAGATTATGTCTTTGAAGAGTGAGATAATCAAGTTAAATGACCGAAGATAAGAATCGCGTCGGGACAGTTGAAAGAAAGTTCGGTACATGCGATTATAACAAGATCTTCTTGTCAGGACTTTTTCAATTGTGACTTTAAATGCGCAAAAAAAGTGTTGTTATTTTATTTTAAAAACCGCTGATTAGTATTCACCTTGCATTCTTTCATTTTATATTATTTACGTCACGCAACCGTGATCGGAAAAATGATACCACAGCTGACTTAGTTGACCCTGATGTTATTTAAATCTATTGTATAATCTTAAAAGACTTGTATTACTCATCTCAATTGCATTCTATAAAAATGTGACAAAATGCTGTAAACAGTTTTTCTTTGTGCCAGTCGGATCGTGTGTCTTTGTGATATAAATTGTGTCTTATTTAAAATAAGCAACTGCATAAGATCTTTCAAACCAAAAATTCTCAAAGAACGTCAAAAAGTCATCTGTATTATCCTACACTTTGACTGTGTTTAATATCAAAATTCTATAGCTATCTATAGAGAAAGAAGTCGACAAACTACAGTACAGACAAGATTGATAGGATGCGAATAATGTATTAAAACTAGAAAAATATCGGCATGTATATATTTGAAAGAAGATCTGAAGATTTAAAGAAGACCAGAAGCAAAGATTTATATCTCACGCGTGATAAGCACAGTTTTACGATGCTCAGGTTCTGCTTGACGATCATATTCCTGGGATACGCCGGTGGAATGTCACTGGGTATTCTCGAGATGATCTATCACTTCTCAGGCTTCCCGACACTACCAAGGAGTTGGACGTGGCAAAACGAGGTACCCGATCACTCTGTTCCCTTCGACTTCCTGGTGATCGGCGCCGGCTCGGCGGGATCCGTCCTCGTGAATCGCCTGACCGAGAATCCCGACTGGAGGATTTTGGTCCTCGAGCAGGGTAACGACGAGATCTTCCTCACGGATATTCCTTTTCTGGCGCCGATCCTCTACAAGACGGACTACGCTCGCTTGTACAAGAGCGAACCGCGACCGCAGGACGCGAATGGCCAAGGTGGATACTGCATTTCGATGGTCGACGGCCAGTGCAACGTGATGTCTGGGAGGGCAGTCGGCGGCACCTCGGTGGTGAACTTCATGATCTACTCGAGAGGAGCACCGGCCGATTACGATGCCTGGCAGGCACTCGGTAATCCCGGCTGGAGTTACGAGGACGTGCTGCCGTATTTCATCAAGTCCGAGAGGTGCAAGCTGACCGATAAAGACGTCAGGTATATATTTTCAAGTCAGAAACAATTAATTAATTTTTTTTACACCTCACATAATTTTATAATCGTATGAAATTTTTTAACAATATTTGTAATATTATTTATTTCTGTATTACACATTTCTCTTATTTACGTTTCTCCTCATTAGATATCATGGATACAATGGATATCTGGATGTGACGATTCCTCCTTACTCTACTCCGTTGAAGGAATCTTTCTTGAAGGCCGGTCAGGAACTCGGTTACGATCTGGTAGACTACAACAGCGACAGACTTATAGGCTTCTCGGGCGTGCAATCAACTCTGCGAAACGGACGCAGAGTTAGCGCCGGCAAAGCCTTCCTCAGACCGATCCGCGACAGACCAAACTTTTATTTATCTAAATTTGCGACGGTCACGAAAATTGTTATTAATCCAAAGACGAAAACAGCCGTCGGCGTTGAATTCATAAAGAATCATAGAACGTACTTTGTCTCCGCCACTAAGGAGATTATACTCTGTGCAGGTATATACGTTTTGAATATCGTTATGGAATAAAAATATGTGATTTTTAATTACAAAGTAAATTTACTTTAGAAATATATTTAATAAAATATTTGGTAAAGAAAATTAATTTATATTAAAAAGTAAATTTTAGATCAAATTAGAGAAAGAAATATTTATTTTTCAAATATATTTCAAAATTTATATTAATATATATTTATATATATTTTAATAATTATATTTATATTTATAATATATATTTAAAAATTAAAGTTTATTTTATTAATAAATAAAAAGCTATTTTATAAATTAGTTTGTTACTTATACCATATTTACGCAGATAAATAGAGGCTTCTTTTTTATTATACAGGTGCTCTTAATTCACCACAATTACTGATGCTGTCTGGAATAGGCCCAAAGGACCACTTGAGCTCCTTAGGCATCCATGTAATCGAGGATCTTCCAGTGGGGTTTAATTTACAGGATCACGTGAGCATGTCAGCTTTAACGTTTCTAGTCAACGAGAGCGTGACTATTGACGAACCACGTCTAAGTTCTAATCCGTCCATTTTTCTGGACTACCTGATACAAGGCACAGGTCCTCTGACGATACCCGCAGGCGCCGAAGCATTAGCTTTCTTTAATACTAAGGCTCATTTGAATATGAAAAAGTCCAAGTTTAATTCCATTGTCCAGGATGAAAATATATACGGATATAGCGGTAAGCTTTTTATATTACTGATTATTTTTAAAATTTTTACAAAATTTCTACAAAATATATTAATAAATAATTGCAAAAATTTTCTCTTTAAACTTAAACGAAAAAATGCAAAAGTCACGTTATTTCTTGCAGCTTGGACTGTTCCCGATATAACTTCCATCACCGTCGATCGTGACATCTTTAAAACATATCCTAACGGGAACAAATTATTGACAGAAGACGATTATCCCGACATCGAGGTGGTGTTAGGCGTATCCTCGTTAGCCGGTGATGTTTCCGGGGTTTATCGCAATTTGCTTGGATTATCGGACAATTTTTATAAAGAAGTTTTTAGCAATTACGACGGATTCAACGCTTTCACACTCGTGCCTGTGCTTCTGCGACCCAAGAGTCGCGGCAGAATCACCTTGAGAAGCACCAACCCGTTGGATTTGCCTATCGTGGACCTCAATTATTATGATAACGAGGATGATCTGAATAAAATGGTGCAAGCTATAAAGATAGTAAGAATCTTTATGTACATTTATATATTCTACGTTACATCTATCGTTATACATTTTTTTATTTTTAATTTATTCTTAATTATATTATACTTGCTAATTATTATATTTCTCATATTTTTTTGTCGCATTTTTTTCAATTTCCAGGCGATGGAAATTGCTTCCACGAGAGCGTTTAAACGTTACAACGTCACGCTGCTACCAGTATCGTTTCCAGGATGCAAACACATTGCTTTTAAGAGCGACGCATATTGGGCCTGCGTCGCCCGTCACGTAACGACGAACGTAGGCCATTACTCAGGTACGTGTAAGATGTCCACGCGGAAAAATTCGGGCGTGGTGGACCACAGATTGCGAGTGCATGGGATCAATGGTCTCAGGGTCGTGGACATCAGCATTATGCCGACCATAATAGCCGGTCACACGACCGCGCCCGCGTACATGATCGGCGAGAAAGCCAGCGACATGATCAAGGAGGATTGGAAAGATTTTGCTCCGTGAATCACACACACACAAACACACACGTATACATCTACATACAAGGTGTGGGAAGCAAGGAAGTGGAGGATGTTACGAAGTAAAACATGTGGGACGCGTTATCGTGAAAGTGCGTAGACTGTGATTAAATGAAAATCACTTTTAGGTTCAAAGCGAATAAGCGCGATAAATACATTGATCTTTGCGCCACAAAAAATCGTTGAATTTTTAAGGGGACTTAAAGGAAGCGCTGCGTATTTACATAATAGAGATATATTCAAATATTATACACACAAACTTGTTGTAGAATTTTTCTACTTTTCGAGTAGAATATTGTTTTCTATAGGAATATAGAACCTAATTACGCAAAATTATTATACGTTTAAATTAAAAGTGTAGAAATGACGTTCTGCTCTCAAGTGTATAGTCCTAGTGTATAGTCAAGTGTATAGTTCAATGACTATATATAATATTATTCAGTTAATATATGTCGGAAGTAAAAAAAGAACAATGTCGTTATTGCGGTTTTCTCAAGTTGAAGAAAACACGCTGATTCTCTTTGGCTGCTTATAGTTGAATTGCTAGTTAAAATATCGGATTTACATTGAACAATCACAATTTAAATAAATACAGCGATACACCCACGTTTAAACTATAGAGATAAATTATTAAAGCTCTACGATTATATATTTAAATATCTTAAGTTAATAAATCGATGAGTTTATAGATTTATGGAAAACGCTGTTGGACAGATCCATTATACTTAGCACATAAAAAATTTCGCGATAAAGATGATGAAGAGTATTCCGTACGCTTGCCATCTTGTTGCACCTATAAAAAAATGAGACGAGTCAAAGTAAATTAATTTTAACATTAATAATTAAAATAAAATAAATAAAATTAATTTGAGACAAAATATTGATTCAAAATGTTAAAAATAAAGTATAGATATACCATTATCACTGAATTGAACGCAGTCCTGCAGCTCCTCCATTAATGTATAACCATCGGTACAAGTGCAGAAACCTGCGCATGAATAAAATCACGTTTATTTTACGTTGTTGCATAATAAATCGCGATTAAATAATCGCGTGTATTTAACAAGCAATTACGTACCGTCGACACAATCCACTTTCAACTTCCACGTCGAATTGGAATCCCTCAAACTTCCGGTGATACAATGATGGTGAGTCTCGCAATGACCGCCAAGTTCTAAAATTGCAAAATTTTTATGCGTTAGTATAAAATCAGCTTGAATGATATAAAACTTGCAAATATATTTTTTTCTCTCATTTAATCATAATTTTAATTTTAAACTGTATTTATGTCGCACGGAAGATGTCAAGCTCTGTGATCTGTTTTCAAATTAAGGTAAATCAAGATCGAATCAACGTTTAGGACGAATATACTCGCCGACATCAACGTAACATCGACGGCCACGTCTGTGAGAACCGGCGACGCAATCGCACGTCCCATTTGCACATCGGCTGTGCTTTAGGATCAGCTGGCACTGGGACTGCTGCTCGCATTCCTCGCCGATCCAGGAAGCGGCCTTCAGACATCGTCGACTGCCCTCGACCAGCACGTAGTCCACTTTGCAGTCGCATCTGTTGTGCATGCACTTCGAATTCTCCACGATGCATTCGTCATCGTTGTTGCAGTATTCGTCCAATTCTAAAAAAGAAGACAATATTATATAGGTGCGTTCCAAATCTTATACATGCTTTTTATTTTACAAAGTAGTTGCATAGTAGATGCGTAATTCCATTTTTTATTTTACAAAGTAGTTACATAGTAGATTGGCTATCTTTTGTTTTATACTTTATGTATGTATGTTATATTTTACTTCGCGTGTCATCGTTAAGGAATAAAAGGTAAGCACGAGCACGGTTTGACGAGCTTGAAGAATTCTCGCAAAAAGTTGAATTTATAGTAGTTTCTATCGATTGAATTATGATACTTACTAGCGCTCGGTAGACAGCCGGTGTTGTCAGGATTCGCGTGATGACGCAAACCGCAAGTGCAGAAACCGTACTCGCAAAAAGTATTCCTGATGTAGCAATTGCGATTCGATCGGCAACGTTTACCCAAACCTACGATCGAATAGAAGACGATACTTTTGATTAATCGATCAACTATACGTATGCGCATATACGTATATGGATATTTATTTTAATCAATTCTAATTACATCATAAAATATGCACAGACATTAGACAAATAAATAATAGGTGCTTCACCTGTGTAAAAATATCGGTAAAAAACAGGCAAGCCATATATTATTTAGAATAATCAGTCATATAGTTTCTTCTCTGCTTGCACACCGAATAAACTTTTCCCCATTGTTGTCTCCTCCACCCTATTATTCTCGGGATATTTATTTTTCCCATAAATATGCATAATGAGAAGGGGGATCGGCTTGAAACGTTTCTCAGGAAAGAAGCAACACTCACCGACGGACTCGTAACACCTTCCATCCGTGAAGTGAGAATCGTGGGCGCATTGACAAGTGCCTTCTCGACATTCCGACTGCGATGTAAATGTAAACTCGCATTGGATGTCTTCCTCGCAGGGATCACCGATACTAGTAGCCACTGTCAAAATAAGATTTTTCCCATGGGTATCCGTTCACAAATTTACATGTTTCACGTTACGTACTCGTTAAAAGTTTCTTATATATAGATAAAAATTTCTAAATGCATAGCTTTCTTATTTACATCTCGGAAATCTATGACATTTGATGAACGATAATTTAGCGAAATTTCGAGAGCGCAATTCAGATATTATTCGTCGAAGAAATATCTGTAGAAGGTTTCGCAATTCGCGATGTTAATTTTCACGATCTGGAATTTTTAATTTAAATTTCAATGAATTTTAATTTAATTTAAATTAAACTGCACGTTTCGTTGCACGCCGAAAGGGCAGTATCTAGGGACGGATTTACGCCGTTCTGACTCATTCATAGAAATTATTCGTGATCTCTGTCGGCTCAACGAGCACGACGAACGACACGCTCCGGGTGAGACGGGATCGTGAGAAAGGAATAGGGATGGACGAGTATCTTCGCGGGATCTCTCGTTTCTCGAGGTCGATGACATCGCTCCCGAATATTCAAGTAATTACATTTGAAAAGAGGTGTTTATCTTATCTTTAATTTTTTTCATTTTTTTATACGCAATATAGAAAATTGCTATATTATTGTTAAGAAGTAGTACCTTTTAAACATCTGTAGTTGTTGTTAATCCTAAACTCGATGTGATTTTCTTTGCACGAGCAGGTTTGTTGGTTCTGGCAATATGCATTCGCGATACAGTCGACATCGTATTTACACAGTGAGAAAGTTTCTGGAAAATATTCATTTCACTTACATAAAGCGATATTTATTATTTCACGTTGTAATACTAAAAATAATTATCAAAATTTATGTTTCTATGTAAAAGACTCCACATCAAATACATAGGATTTTGACTTTCAGTGTAATTGGCTGTTTGTTTTTCATATGTTATAGCTGAATAAAATATGTAATAGACTCAAAGTTAAATAATAGATTGTTTACTGAGTTATAGCCCAGTCAAACAATTCGTATATAGAATCCAAGTTTTTCGTATTTGACTGGCTGTAAATCAGTATTTGTTAATTTAGTTTTGAATCTATATTACATTTTTTGTTCAACAGATTAAGCTATAACATGTGAAAAAATCAGCCGATCTTATCAAGATTTAATTTTATATGATTAGTACAGGGTTCTTGAACCTATATAAAACCTAGATGAAATTGAACCCCTAATTGAAAATTTGCTGATTTTTTTTACATGTTGTGACTTATGACTTGCTGAAAAAATGTAATAGGTTTAAAACTAACTAATAGATGGTTACTGATTTACAGCCAGTTAAACACGAAAAATTACGACTTTGTGAGTTGTTTGACCATGGCTGTAACTCATTGTCAGTAACTATCGATTATTTAGCTTAAGACTATTACATTTTTTGTTCAGCAAGTCCTAAGCTACAACATATGAAAAAAAACAGAGGACATCCAGAAGACATCTAGAGAATATAAAATATCATCCGGATGTTTCTGGATGTCCTCTGAATGTCTTTCGGACATGGATGTTGGGGGATCCTTTTTAACTTAAATTAAAGTGTGAGAAGATAAAAAAAGAGACACTAACCATTTTATATATTAGATCAAATTGACTGTGACATACTAAATGTTCCTCAATTAAAAGCAATTGAAGAATGCGTGGGAGGAAAAGATCTACGTTACGTATGTCGTTTCAATTTGTTACTTTCATTGTTAATTCGTACAATGAAATGTCAATCGCGGAATATCGCTGATCGCAAATGTCATTGACAGGGTTACGTAAGTTAATGAATTTTAAAACCATGTTAAGTTAAAGTTAATTGTTTATAAAATTAATTTAATTAAGTTAAAAGTTGCATGAACAAAAAGTTAAGATTAAATTAACTGAAGTTAAATCAAAAGTTAATTTTTAAAAACATTTATACATAATTAAATTAGAATTTTGTTTGTTAATTCTTTAAAAATTTATAATAACACACAACAAAGAAATTTTAATTTTTATATAGAAATATATTTTTTTGGTAATTACAATTAATGACAAATGGACATAAAAATTAATAATACTTTATTTTAAAAATAATAAAAAAAAAACAATAATGGTATTCAGAGATAAAAGAAATTTAACTTGGGAAAAAAGTTAATAAGTTTAAGGATAAAAATAACTAGTTGAAATTAAAAATTAATACAATTGAAATGAACTAAGCTAAGTTAAAAGTTTTTAACTAATTAACTAGTTATTACCCAACCCTGGTCATTGAAATGGTAAATGTTGCTTACTATTGCTAGAGCGATTATTATTACTGCGATCGTTGCATCGCGACGGGTCCTCGTTGCTGTTGACGTAGGTGATCGTCGCGCAGACGGTAACGGGTACGAGGACGAGGAGCCCCGTGAAGCCGCTTACCGTCCACGTCTTCGTCATCCTCGCGATGACGGCGGACAAGCACCGCGTCCGGAAGGTTTCATCACCAAAACCGCCGCTCGACTTATTGTCATTTTCGGTCCCCGTCACGGGACGATCCGATCCGATCGCTCGAAGGCCGCCACGTCACGATCGAGCAGCGGGACCCCGTTTAGCTTTTACGACGATGTTCTCATTGTTTCCTCTCGATGCCCGATGCTACACGTTGCGCAATCGCAATATAGGCAGAAAACAAGCTACACCCTCGGAACGGATATCATCGAGGCGTATCCCGCATAATCATCCTCTCTATGCCTGTGTATCCGCCTGTGTGTCCGATCGCTTCTTCGTCCGTTCGAGGCGAGACAAATCGAGGTGAACGAAAAAAATACTTGAGCGTTTAGTCGAGCTTGGATGAATCAATCTGGAAATTTTGTCCGAATCATCATACGTTGTTATAAGAGTATTCGAGAAAAATTACGAGATCCTGTTAATTTCAACTCGCGATTAATTCATTTTTCACACATTTGTTCGCGGATTCGCGAATTTTTTTTTTTTTTTAATTAATTGTTTTCGATATATCGAATTCAAAATTCGTTTCGTCGAACTTCAACCTTGTTTCTACGAACGACTCGATTAATTTTCCGCGCACCAAGAGACTTTTCTTTCGTCACAATGAAAAAAGTACGTCTTTTATTTCAAGTTTAAAAGTTAAAGATCACGATATTTTTCAATCTTATTGTACTGTGATTCGTTCTTTCTTCTGGTCACACGCACAAGCCTAATTTGAGACGTTCTAGTTTACAAATGATCGCGTGTGAGCGAGCTCGTCGCTATAGAATCGCCTTGTTTCGTCGATTTCTCGACAGGAAGTTGCAGTTGAACACGCACCCCGTAGAGAATTGACTCCGATTGAAAAAAATTATGTGCAAATAGTTGCGCATTCATATGCGGAAATCATTATGAATAATTTTATGCGCTGACTTGTCATCGGCGAATAACAGATGCTAAACCGTTCTAATACAATCTTGCGATCCCGTTCGACTTCCGAGTTAAAATAGCGTCTAATCAAATAACATCCTCTAATATAGTAACCTCCTCTATGGTAACATCCTCTAATAGTAGTTCTAATATTTATTATTAGAGCATGTAAATTAAGATAACAGCTCTTCGATACCGATTTAAAAATCTAAAGCAGATTTTATTATTAGAGCATGTAAATTAAGATAACAGCTCTTCAAAAAATCTGCTTTAGATTTTTAAATCGATATCGAAGAGCTGTTATCTTAATTTACATGCTCTAATAATAAATATTAGAACTACTATTAGAGAATGTTATTATAGAGAAGGTTACTATATTAGAGGATGTTATTTCATTATATATATATATATATATGTGTGTGTGTGTGTGTGTGTGTGTGAGTGAATTTATGCGCGCGCGATTTAATTTAATTTTCAAAATCTATATCTTGTTTCGTCGCTAACTTTATTTCGACTTACTATGCAAATTCATTCTTTTTTTTCAAACAATGACCCATTGTAGCATTGAGCGGCGATTTAAACCGTGGTGAGTCCACGTCATAAAATCGTGGGCGAAGTTTCCCGCTTTGGATTTCAACAACGATCCCGTAAATGCTCGAAGGTCGATCGTGGTGAACACATACAAACACACACATACAAACGAGTTTAGCGCCCTTTCTATAGTTTCAGTTTGGTTGCGCAACACACGCGGTGCCTATAACAGCAGAAGCCATTGTTGTGTGTCGATTTACAGTGCCGTATTTAGGGAAAGCTATATTCAAACCCGAATTGGGTATTTGTTGCATACATCTCCTTATTCTCGTTCGAAACTACCCAAATAGCACAGCGAATTCAAAAAGAATTCATTTGTATGTCACCAATTTTAAGTCCTTTTTTATAAAATGAATTCTATATGTATTTGAAAAAGGACTCAAAATTGATGACATACAAATGAATTCTTTTTGAATTCGTTGTGCTACCTGGGTACGCAATTGACACCAAAATACGAGACCTATCGATTGAATAAAGCGATTGTCTTCGAAGGAACATGCGCATCTTTCACGCAAATTGCAATTAAATGTGATAATTATGATAATGAATTTGAATGGCGATGTTAATGAATGTGTAATTATGATGTCGTTTGAAGTGATAACGCGTCTGGCGTTATTTGCACAGAGCGGGAGAAGTCTGTGCAACTGTAATCTTTTGTCGAGGACTCGGAATGTTGTAATCCCTCTCGCGTCCAAAACGCATTGTTAAATCGGAATAACAGAGACGAGCGAAGGAAACGGGGCCCCCTTTGTTCTTTAATTATGATCGCGTATTCTCCACTCGACATTCACCTAACTGTGAGAACCAGGAGCGTAGATCCGGTCTCCGTGACTCGCCACGATCTTCGCGATTCCCTACGAAGGAGAGGAACAAATTACTGGGTCATAAAAATGCTATCCTTCAAACATTCCGCGACGTGCTTGTGATCATCTTTAACGTGACAGAGAACGCGCGATTATATATTTGCTTCAGCAGTTAAATATCGATTAATCGATTATCTCTAACACGCGTGATTCGATGCTTTTTTTCAGTTAAAGCGATATTATATTATTATTATTATATCTTCACGCGTTTCTATAGAGTTAAAACGTAAACAGCTCCGATATCGATTCGGAAAATAGGACTAGATATTGAAAATTTTATTAAGACACTCTCTTTTTTGTTGCACTTGATTCATGATTATACGAGATAATTTTATGACACTTTACTATTATATAAAATAATAACTTGAATTATAATTCGATAATTATAATAGGATGAAACACTATTCTTCATTTACATTTTACATTTGTTATTAATAATGTTACATTGCGTTAACAAACGTAACGTTATATTATAATTTCATTAATTTTGAAAATGTGGAAATGACGCTCGGCACGATGAATTCTTCAAGCTCGCATGCTCTTTAGACTTGTGATTACGGTTTTAATTTTAATCTGCATAATTTTCACTGAAAATGTCTTTCAATATTTAACATTTTGCTCAGTTTATACACCACCGTTATTGTATTATTAATATTCATTGTGCATCAAAGCATAATTTAATTATGTCCTCGCTAAAGAAATTCTCTCGGCTATATCTTTTTTTAACTCACGATATCTCGATATTTTCCATATTTAATGAACTTGTTTCACGTGATGATTTTATATCGTTTAAAAATAAAATCCTCCATCTTTTTAATTGTTTTTAAACGTTTTAACTTCGATACTCTTCAATCATATTTATTTTATGACGCTGCGGATACTTTTTTTAAAATAAATTTAATTTTTTGGTCAAAAATCTCGATATTTTCCTTCGCTTGCTCGCAAAATATCCCGCGTGTCGTACACTCGAATTTGATTTGACACTCACGTTGACGATGCTTGCGCTGGCCGTGCGCAACGGCAACTGCGAGGCAAAGCGCGATTGACAGCACAACGAGCCGCAGCTCCCTCACTGGGGGCCTCCTCAGCTCTCCCGCCATTTCTTCAAGATTTTGCTCCTTATATCTCAGAATTCGAGGGAACTCTTCCTCTTCAGACGCAATCGCTCTAGAGACTCTTATCACGCAGCGGCTCAATCGCGTCTTTTAACTTTCTGGAAAATAACTCTTATTTATATCCTTTCAGCGATTGAATGAATAAGATCCGTATGTGATGACAGTGTGAAGCTAGAAGAATTGGACCTTCCCTCAATGGATGGCATTGTACGATAAAATGACAAATAAAGGTGCGTAGATGTCTTTCGTAAGAATTTTTTTAACGCGTCATTCTATTATTATGCTTTTTTCAGCCAAATTACAAATTGTTAAGGTTGTCTCTTTGCTCGAATTTTCTATCGGAAATGTGTGATTTGAATGTCTCTAAACAGCAAAATTATGAGTTAAAGATAATGCAGAACACATGACAAATATATATTTTATGCTGTAGTAAAAATGATGGGATTTTACAATTGCATTAATAATTATTATAGAATTCCGGGCTTAATCAATTTTATAGTTTCATCATATATGTATAACCGTACTTGATGATATTGGCTATTTGTTTGAGTAAAAGAAAAAGAAAAGCGAGATTTATACAGAAAAAGATTTCATATGAAAAAATAAACAAAAAATGTTTTTAATATTTTTAATGCCAAAAATCGTGCGTGCTATATAATAAAAATACAATTTTATTTTTAATAATCTTTCAGTAAAATACTTATTAATGCGTAAGAGAAATTTTACTCAATGCATTTAATTGAAGATGTTATCATTTTCAAATAATAACTCGAGAGAATATCTTGATATATATTGGATAAACTTCACAAAAGAGAACTTCAAAATTCACATTTATCGTTTAATTCTAAAAAAACCAATACCAAAATCTTCCTGATACACAATTTATATTATTGCGTATTATGTGTAAAAGAAACTTATACATATAATATGCAATATATATAATCTATTCTGCACAAAGATTTGGCATTTGACTTTTTAGAACCGAGTTTATTTTCCTGATTAATTATTATTTTCTGAATTTTTAATAAAAGAAAAAATGTAAAAAATGTAATAAAAAATTATCGAGATATTGGATATACACATATCTGTGACTCGAGTTCAAATGGGCGGAAAAAAATTAAGATGTCAAGTTAGAAGCTTTCTTACACGCGCTCGTGAATTTTATCCAATTTAAGAGGCAGCAAGAAGCGCTGTAAAGCTATACTGTCAGCATCTGCATTTTAATAACCGCGTTAATTAAATGCACGCTAGAGTGGAAGGCTTTAAAACACGCCGGTACGGCTAGCTCAAGCTGTCGCCTTCGCTGAGTTTCGCTGCGCAATTACACAACGACGTTTAATATTGCAATTCCATTTTCACGCCATTTTCTCTTACACCCCTTGTTTCTCTGTAATTATTTTAGAAAATGAAGCCTTTGGGTTTAACGTGAAAATAAAAACAACCCTTAAAAACAGCTGAGTTTTATATTATGCGCTTAAAGGAAAATCGCGATTTATAAATATATAAATATGTTACTATATTCTAAAAAATATCACAACTCACTAAAAATACAATCATCTAAATCTAATATGTAACATGATCTTCTCTTATCCAAAGAGCGACATCATATGTGAATTTTTTTGGTCTTACTATTTTTTTTTATCTTTCTTTCTCATTCTTGAACTGTCATCACGACAGTTCTACGAACACGTATACACGCATACTTTATATACAAAATCCGTGCAATCGCATGAATCTTGATTTGTGAGGTATAGTAGTGTTGTGACCCAAATTTGGCGCACGTTAAAGCAATATTTCTGTTATTTGTAAGAAATTTGCGACTCTCCTCAATAATACAAATAATCGCAACCCTCGCAATAAAGAACGCGAAAATATTAGCCGTATACGTACAACACATATCTTTTTGCGTTTCGCAAAAATAATTTATATATTATTTTCTTTAAATTTTTCTTACAAATATACATAACGTTATCATAAGTTTATCTGTTGACTTGCAACAATACCTCGTGGTTTTTTGCGAGGAAATTGTACTTTGCGGCTAACAGCGCTTTACAAGATTAAAATGCTACAAAATAGCATTATCACAGTGAAAATTATTGATATTCCGAGCGACGACGAACCTGCAAATAAAATCAAAGCAAAGTCTCCTGTACGCAAAATTAATTTAATTATTAAACTAATTAATAATTAATTTTCATCTTATATCTAGGATACATTAAAGATCATTCACTTACCGGCGCTGACGCATTTGTTATCTTGCCTGACATAATTTTCGGCGCACGTGCATCTATTAGCCTCGCACATTATAGACTTGATCGGCGGATTGTTCTCCTCGTAATCCTCGGCCTGATAACACTCGTAATTATTTGCGCAATCGTCGTCGATCGCTATAAAATAATGTAAACGATTTTCTTTGGTATACAATAATTTTTTTGTATACAATAATTGTTTCTTTTCGACACAATTATTTTATAATCACTTGTGATATCTTGCGGCAAAGCGCGAACGCAAGTTCATCAAAAGTGAATGAAAGATGTGTGATTACCTTTGTTGGGAAAACACCTCGCTAAATCGTGCTCGTAATGATAATCCGATTCACACTGACATGCATTGTCGAGGCACGACGAATGCTCGAATGTCACTGTGCACTGGATTGATTCCGTGCATTCGCTCTGAATCTTTTCCACGGCCATCAGACATCTCTTGCTATCCGAATTCAGCACCATTCCTATCGCGCATTCGCACTTCATATTGCTGCAAATCACGCCCTCAATATGCGAGCATTCCTGATTTTTCGTGCAAGCTTGGTTGTATCCTGCGAAAATAATTGCGTCAAAAAGAAAATTTCTAAAGAATCTCTTTCTCTTGCGATTACGTTGCATTCTGTGAACAAAGCACGAATGCTCGACGCAATCGGAAAGATACGAGAAATTGAATATTGTTAAAGTTCCGGATCATACAAAAATTCATAACTTTTATACTGTCGCTTTCCGTATAATATAATTTTATAATAAATAGATGAATTATTAAATAGTACTTACCAGCCTTTTTCCAACATGCATTGTCTGCGTAATGATATCCGGATATGCAAGCGCATTTGTTATTCTCACAAGTGGTGTTTGCCAGAAACGCTAAACACTGATTTTCATCATTGCAAAAAGCGTCGATCGAATGAGCCTCTATTATATTTAAAAAATCAATGAAAATCAATAATATCAATAGGTATTAGAACAAATAAAGTCCACTTTAGATAGTCTTTAATTCACGACAGAATTTAAGATAGAGTTCTATTTACAATTTTATATGCAGTATATGTATTCTAATTATTCTAATATATGAATAATTTTGCAGATTTATTTATTCTAATTTTTCAAATGTTTTTATTGTAAATAGAATCTTCTATCATGAAATATAGCTTGTTTAAAACGGGCTCAGTATCAAGATATTATAAAAATTTGTACTCAATTTGAAAGAATTACCAGAATATTTATTCTTATTTTTATTTTTTTTCCAAAATTTTTATACTATTCTTCTACACTTACTTTTGACACAATGTTGCTTGTTCTTTGAAGATACATAATCTTTTATGCAATCGCACTGACTAATAGTTTTGTTGCAAAATCCGCCCTCAAATTTGCAATCCTGATCGTGTTTGCACGTTCGATAGACCAGCGGACCTAAAAGAAAATACTTTATTTATTATTTACACAGTTATTTAATCGGAGAGTTCGGTAAAAAAAAAAAGAAAAAGTGCAAAAACATGAATACACATCCCTTTCTAAAAAAGGTATATTAAAATCGTGCCAATTATATATCACCTGGTACTTTAGTCTGGTGCATGAATGCATTAATGCTAGAACAGATTTTAATTCCGGTATCTTCTTTCGGGCACATGCAATATCCATCCTCGCAAAAAGCATCTTTCGAAAGTGTCAGCGTGCTCCTACAATCTGACGTGTTTCCGCACGGGATAGGTGTGTCTGCAACCGGATCGTTTCAGAAAGGACGTGCGTCATAAACGAGGAAATTTGTCAAGGATAAGATAAAGCTTCCATCGGGTTGCCCATTATTATATTCTTCGTTTTAGGAAAATCATTACAAACTAAGCACGTGGATATTCTTGGCCAGTTTGTGTTTTCTGATTTGATTGAGACAATACGCGCGTTTCTAGAAAGGGATAAATTAATTGCTCCGATTTGTTCATAAAACTCACACTTGCAAAAGACAAAAGTTCAATCAGAAGCTTACGCGATCGCAGATTTGGAGAAGTCAAGAAAGACTTTCGGCAGCAAATAAGATAAATAACACCGTCTTATAGGTATTCGACGAAGGAAAAATATTTGTCTGAATATTCTACAGATGTTGTCAAGTATGAAATAATAAATTTTAAAGATACGCGTCAGTATTTTAATAAACGACTGTGCTATAATTAAGATGTGTACGTGTCGTGATTAGAGCAATGTGGACAAATTTAATTAACATATGTGCCAATAATGTATTATTCTGCGACATGTTAAGAAGTCTCGAAAAGTATAATTAATATATCTACCTGCGTAGAGGAAGCAAGTTATTTATTTGACGGCTACTTAATTAATAAGGAAATGCGAAATTGGAAAGGTAAACATACTTGACGACGAGATGAGCAGAAGCTTTATATATGTATAAGAAAGTATGTTATTATGATTCACGTACCTAAAGTCAAAACCGTTAAACATATATCAAGTATTATGCTTGAATAATTCAAATGTGACTAAAAATTATTTGAAGAATCTCAGATTTAATCTTCAAAATTCATTAGTCGACTCGAAGTCGCTTTTTCCTTAGATAAATAAATCAAAGTCTAATGTAGTACAATTTTTTTTTATTACATATAGAAACATTCTAAATTCTTATTGCTTTAATATCATAATACAATCAATTAGTTATTTAATAATTATAACACATTACGCAAAGTGTATGACATTCAAATATAGAAAAAAAGAAGGAAAGAGAGGCAAATTCCATGAGATCTCTCTTTCTCTCTCTTTCGAAAGAAGAGGTCACTTTGGTCGTTACATGATGTTTACATGGCAGCGTAAATGTTATACTTTATCATTCCACATAATTACATACCAAGCGTGAACGCGAGAAATCTGAGCGTGCTCAAACTAAATTAAAATTAGCAGAGCGAATTAATAGGCGTGATTAAAACAAGTGATTCATTCAAACTCACCGATTTTGAATTGTATGACTTCATCCGCATTGATGAGACCAATCATCAGCATAATCGCGCTTGCAATTAGAATTTCGTACGTTCTCATGCCGAATGGATTCTTTCCTCTTCTGGTCGAGGTCGATGTCATTATGATACGTCTTCGCTCTCACCGAGAATCCTTATTGTTAGCTCAGTCTGTCTTCGTCCGGACTGTCAGACTTGGATCATCGGTCCGCGATCAGCTTGTGTTCGAGCCTTCGCGCGCGACTGGCGAACGCGAAACCGAAACGCCGAAGGCCTCCTTGTCCCGTTTATTGTTGTCTCTCAACCCCGCGACCATCCTCGCACAAACACATTCTGGAGATTCGTCCCTCTCTGACTCTATCTCTGCACACTCCCCACTACGAAGTCGCTAATTTTCTCACGACTTCGAAGCGATCCAGTGATCGGTCTTTACATAAATATACCATTGTATTATTTAAACTTCTGACATCATTGACTGTTGCTATACAATTGCGTCGTTTTATATAGGCGTCTATTACGTCCTTACTCCGTATGTAATTCTTTTTTTTTATCACGGTAAATACGCGCGCGTTTTTAACTATCCTGCTGATTTATTAAGTCGTATCTTTATAAGAAGCTATAGAAATAATTTTGAAGTAAACGTACGAAGCGGAAGCATATCTGTATGTTTGTACAAATAAACGCTTTGTATTTCAAAATATTTAATTATTATTAATTTATGTCGTTATATGTATTTATTAACTTGCTTACTTCATCACTCGCAGTTCTTCTTCTTTAATCAATTTTAATTCTTATATTGCAAAAACCAGACGAAACTAGATTTTAATGAAATTATAAGTTGCCACGTCTCGTGATTGTCATGTTGCTAACTATAAATTAATAATTATTACATAACAAATGTTATATCATAAAAATTGTTTCTAAATAATAAATATATATTTTAGATATGTATATATATTATATATTGTTTGTAAAAATTCTAAGTGTACAATATGCCAAAGTATTTATTTATCATACTTTATTTTCTCGTAATTTTTGCATTTTAGTAGGATGCATTTGATATACATATATTTTACGAGTTATCAATAAAGTAAGAGCATGCTTTTGTAGAAAAATGAATGCTTGTGTGTTAAGAATCGCAAGAGTATGAATGAGTACGTAAGGCCACATTTCACATAGTAATCATAATGATAATGATAATGTAAAAGAACAAAGGTAATACGATGAGGTTGAATTCGCAAAATTATCGCTATCACGGCACGAAATTTCGTTGAATGAACTTAGCCAATCATTTCAACGTAAAATTAATAAATGTGTTACTCGATTATGACATATCTTATTTCAACATAAACACTTTCTTAATTAACGAAAAAGAAGTTTCATTAATTAAAATTTAATTAGAAAATAATATTATACACAGTAATATCACTTATAATATAAATTCATACAAATAATATGTTAATTAAACGCGAATATTTTTCGCTGTTTTCAGCTTTATCGTAAGATATGCCTTCGCAAATTCGATAAATCTATGATGTGACATATTTTATGTTTTTATATAGTATATAATAACTAGAAATGTGACAACGATAGGCGGTTTGATATATCTCATAAGGCGCAATTTATTACGATTCGAAGAATAGATTATCGATGCAGAAATAAGAGATAATTTATTAAATATAGAGAGAATAAGAGATAATTTTTCCCTTGTTTCTCCCTTAATTAAAAATAAATTAATGCCTCTAATTATATATTGGCCACTCTTAATGCCAACGACGAGAGCGTTTCACTCAATAAATGAAACCTGTGATTCATTTTCACTTGCGATATCGCTATAGATAGGCTTAGAGATAAGACGTTTATCTGACGAAGGTGTCGTAGTACGAAAATGTATCATAAGTTCTCTATCTCGTTCAGTCACCTGGATATGTTTCACGTTTGCATGTGATTTTGGATCTCCAATGACGACTCTCCTTCGCATCTCTCTCATCCTGTGCGCGCTCTCCGGTTATTCCCGTTGTCAGCAGCCTCGTGAGTGGTCTCTTCACGTAATTTATCGCCTTTGTAAATATTCTCCGACATGAAACACGTCGACGTAGCAGAGTCACAGGAGATAACGTTGCGTTCGACGATATAACAAAAAATGTTTGAAAGAGCAGATGTAAAAGACATCTAATTACGTAGACTTTCATCTTTTCAAATGTTCCTTCAGAAATGTTTAAAAGATAAATAATAATTTGGATGTTGTTCTTCCTCGCTCAGCATTTTTTAAAAGTTTTTTTTTTAATCTTTTACATGTTTATATAACAATTTAGACGGTGTTCTTTCTCGTTTGATATTTTTACAAAGCATTTTATTAATTCTTTACATGTTTCTCATACACTTAAAAAAAAAATTGAAATTTTCCAGGTATCCTTTATTCTAATCTTTTAGCCATGTTTCAGATATCTATTTAGATACTCCTTTTAGAATATATGAAATCAATATCAAAATATCTATGTGTGTGCACTGATAGCTAATCGCGTATTAAGAGTAAATAAAGCTCTGTCGCGTCATTTTTAATAATCCGTGACTAATTTCCCCTCAACTAATTGATTAATTGATTAATCGTTTCTTTTTGCTAATTAGAACTATTACTCGTTTTAGCGGAGCCAGCTATAAATGTTCAAGTAGGCGGCAACTGCGAGAGAGACGCCGAATGCATCGAGAATGCATTCTGCCGCTGGCAGCAAAACTGTTTGTGCGAACTATATTACTCGCCGAGTCCCGATAAATCGATGTGCATCGCCAGTGAGTGTTTGTTAAAACATCTTTTTCGCGTAAAGCTATGTCCTCATTGGACATCAACAACGAGCAATTTTTTTAAGAAACATGGAACATCAACAAAAGGTTGCTCGTTGTTGCTCCAGTGAAGACGCAGCTTAAGAAACTTTCGGCAACAACTATAGCAACTTTTTATATTAAAGAACCGTGGAACATTAACAAAAAATTGCTCGTTGTTGATGTTTTTCGAGTTTTCCAGATTTTTGCGTAAATTTGTACAATTACATGCGTGAAGATAAACTGCGTTCTATTAAATCTATTGAATATGTGCGCACTGATCTTATATGTATATCCATTTATCATATCTCGTTCGTCGGCGCTTATATAGAACTTCTTTTTTTTTATTCTTCTAGCTGTGGGGTTGCGCTGCGAGAACGATGACACCTGTCGAACTATGGCGAATGGCGAATGCAGACAAGGCACATGCACCTGCAAGGACGAGTTCTTTTTAGACAACTTGAATAGATCGAATTGCATTCCCAGTGAGTGATTTTTATCGTTACGAAAAATTACAAAAATGAAGAGACATCGAAAATTATATCTTGTGATTTCAAATTCGACAAACTATTGAAAAAAAAAGTATTACAGGACCTTCCCAAATCGGCGATCGCTGTACGATTACGACGATATGTCAGGAGAGTTTCAATTTTGCGACGTGCGTCAACGAAAAATGTCAATGTTACACGGGATATCATTTTGTAAATGAGACGAAAACTTGCGTTCCGAATCAAGGTAATGTACAGATTTGATTCTTATGAAAGAAGGAAAAACGTACATTAAAATATTAGAGATCCTATAACAGCATATCCGAAAGACGTTCAAAGGACAGCCAGAGAACATTCAGAATCCAGAGGTTGCTGAAATGTCTTCTGAACGTCTATCGGATATATATTACGCTATTAGGGGAAAGAGAGAAAGAAATATTAAAAAAAGAAAATATCAAAACGCTAGAAAAAAATTAATAAGTTAACAGTTTTTCGAGATTTTTAACGCACATTGTTTCAGCCTTGTACAATACTTGTACCAGCGACCACGAATGCTACGAAGACAACAAGAACCCGGATATCTTGGAGTGTAAGAATGGTCAATGCGTGTGCAAGGAAGGAGAGCCGCAATGTGCCGGAGGTTAATTGCGCTTAATTGTATCGTTACAAAAGCTAATTCGGCGAAGCCCGCGAATTGTTTTTACCTCTTTTTTTGTTTGCAGGTTCGAGAAGCAAAATCGCCGAAATGATGACAATTTTGTTAGTGCTCTGGATATTGTTAATGAATCCATCAATATAGCAAATTAATATCAAATGTCTATAAATATCTATAAATATTTAATTGTTCGTTTGATTTTACAATGGCATTATTTAACGCGCAAAATAAACAAACTCACATAAGTCATTTGCTTACACACTTTCAAATTTATACATATGTATATCATTATATCTAATAATATTTCAATATATTTTTTTGTATTGTATTTGTACTTCTAATAAATTAATTTTACAGTCAGAGAGAGAAATAAAGCACACGTAAATATGATCTTGTAAAAAACTTTAAGATTGTTTTTAAAACAAGATAAGAAATAAAAATGTGTGAAATATCTATTTGCATATATATATATATATATATATATATATATATATATATATTTGACGATTGTTTTTTTCAGTTGTATTCTTTTTATACTTTCTCTATAGTCTATAAACTCAGAGTATTCTGCAATTTTCTAATTGCAAATAAAAAAAGAGAAAAAATAGATATAAGAGATACACATCTGATCGGAATGATTGTGTAAATGTAATAATAGATAGATATAAATTAAAATAAATTTAAATTTTCTTGCATTTATTATATTAATAATTTATTTCATATGATCTTGAAACTTTGATGAAAGAAAAAGAAAAAAGGCTTATACGTTTCGATATAAACCGCCATTATTAAGAAAAATCATAATTATAAAAAATATGTAAAATTACATAAATAATATATAATAAGCGTAAAATTACACGATAATTAATGAAAATGTATACATTGTGTAATTTTATATTTATTATTTATGTAATTTTATATTTTTATGTAATATATAGTAAACATTTTTTTATAGCGTATGTTCATTCATTTATACGTCACAAATCATTGATATATCGCCAGCTGAAGAAAGTACAGTCACATTACACCGCGCACGCGCATTTAACCTTCTTCCTTAGCTACTAATCAGCTGATAGCTGGTGACCTAACCATACCGAATATACTCGGAGACTCGTAGTCGCAAAACCGAATGTATCACATAAATAACCAATTCTAGCGCATGCAGTATATAATAAAAGAAGGTAAGCTTTGACGTTTAATGAATAATTTATAAAAATCGGCAAGCAATATATATTCTACGCTCAATGAAGAATATATAATGAAAAACTCAGATTATGTTAAAATAGAATTGTACATATTTTTCTCTATTATTATCGGCACATTTCTGCATCACAATTGAAAGAAATTGTATGACAGATTATCTGCCAAAGCGTGTTTGTTCGTTATCAGTTTATTTCCTTTCAATATATATTTCTCTTCTCAGGATGTCTTGGATCGTGAATTCTGTGCGCGCCGTTGTAAACACATGGACACCGCAGGTGACGCCGGTGCGATTTCGCTATTACGCGGACAAGGTGGCCAAGGGCCCTTTCATAAGGCGACATGGATACGAGGATCCTATAGATATGCGGGGCCTTTTACCGCGTCTAAAGAACGCTGAAAGACTACCGATGCCGGTCTATCGGCCGAGAGACGTCTGGTCCGAGAAGAGGGCACTCTTCGGACAAAATGATTATATTGATATATTAGGCTCCGATAAACTCCATCCGACGAAAATTCTTTACAACGTGCCCGCGTGGTTACGCGGTGTCAGGGGTAATGAGTATCAAGTCTTGCTGAGAAAAAGAAAGATATGGTCGAAAGGGATATTCCCAATCGCGAGACCAACAAAGTGGAAAGAGCTAAGTAAGAGAATAACATACTTGTACAAATTCCTAAATCGTAAAACGAAACAAAAGTAAAAAGTAAAGTTAATTTAATCGTGATATAATTGTGTAATTAAATCTTAATTTGTCTGAAAATATATACAATTGCTGTGTTTTGCAACCGTTTCTGAATATTCTATCAGCTTTCTACGTTTCCTTTATGATCCACTTTACGACATATACTTAATATTAATTATAAATATAATTCATAATTTCTCAATAATGTTATTATGAAAAAATATAAAATAATGAATTTATTTATTGGCAAATAATTATCCATCGGATATACGATTATTTCACAACATTGAAGAACGCAAATACTTTTTCTCGCTGTAGAAAGATGAGAGAGGTACGTGATTGCGATCACGTATTATGTACATAGTCACAGTTGGGGTATTCATAGTTTAATAATTCAACATATATTGCGGAACAGAAACGCAATGTCTCTGAAATAGTCTTTCTGATTAACTATTGTCAATAAATTGAGTATTGTCCATTCCCTTAAAAAATAGTCACGAGTAACCAATATTATCATGGTTGTAAACTTCAACAATAGCTGATTAAAAAGGCTGTTTCGAATGTATGTTATTACGCGCATGAGTTTTTTTTACATTGCCATTGAAAATTTGCATAGCTCAGTACACATGTGTGCTAGTTACACATTATAAATTCCTCACTAGAAGTTCGTCCCAATATTACTTATATGTTAACAATTCACATCGCGCTACCGCGAATACCCTTTGCATTGAAGTTGTAATACTATCTTAAAAACCTCATATAGAGGTACATATTTTTTGTACAGAAATTAATACAGATACTATTTGAAAGTATCTTTTGGTTAGTTTAAGTTTTCTGTGTGTACATAAATTAATGGCAGTAAACTTTGAATGACTACTACCAAACGCTTATAAGAGAAAAAAAAAATGATCGGTTCATAAGTGATTTTGCAAGAAGGACAGCAAAGTTGTCTCGTAATGTTTGCTAGCATCCAGATTTCTCAAACTGTGCCTCTCGTTAGGATAAATCTGCAACTGATATGGTTTGCCGATCTTCACGAGGGCATTAATTAGCTGGCTAGTGTGATAGAAATGTACATTCTCGTCTATGAGACCATGAATGATCAACAATCGATTCTCTTCGTCGGGAAATTTGTTAACATATGTTAGGATTGATCCGGCCATGTAACCATGAAGATTGTTCTGCGGCAAATCCATATAACGCTCGGTATATCCGGTATCGTAAAAATTCCACGAGGTAACCGGAGCACCAGCAATGGCCAGCTGTGCAGAATAAAAATATTTTTCAATATATACATTTTTTAATAATATGTAATAGAATTCCATACCTTGAAGACGTCGGGATACTGTATTAAACCCATGAGACTTAAGTATCCGCCGTAAGACCAGCCGTGAAGAGCCACACGATTTAGATTTATGTATCCGGTAGTTTCTGCTAACCATCTTAACACTTCTACTTGATCGTTTAGCTCTACGGTTCCCATTCTGCGTCGTAAGTGACTTTCGAATATCAGACCTCTATGCTGTGATCCACGAGAATCGATTAAAACTACACAATAACCTTGAGCAGCTAACATATGCATCCGTAAATGCCTTAATCCCTGCAAGAAGCATTAAATTAAATCTTTATTTTACATATTATATACCTCATACAACACGCATCTATTTATAACTAAAACATATTTACCTTAAATGTATTTGATACAAGTTGTACTTCGGGTCCTCCGTAAACGTTCAATATCGTAGGATACTTAACACCAGGTTGGAAATTATGAGGTTTGAATATCATTGAGTAGATCGTATCACCTGATTTTATTCTATGCGTAAAGATCTCTGGCGCGAACAACTCGGATTCAGGGGCCGATGGTTCTAGAAGGTAGCCTACAGGTGTGAGCGATATACTTTCCACCGTCCAATCGGTTTGCGATATTTTAAATACCTGCAACGATAAAAAGAATAATTACTAAAAAATAGTAATAAATGTAAATTGGCGGAAATTTGTTCGATGAAAGACGTACTTGGCAAGTAGGCAACGTTTTAATGGAACTATAAACAGTGACCAACATCGTGCATTCTTTATTAAAATAAACACTGTTGTAACTGTAACCCGGCCGCGTTAAGAGCCGTATCTCTAATGGTCGTCGCAGGGAAACCGCGTAAACATGTTGCTCCAAAGGTCCTTCTCGTAATCCGCAAAAGTACACGATAGAATTGACTTCGTCGACCCAGATTTTCTTCCCCAACACTTCCCAATCGCCTTGTGTCAGGGCCACCTTAGAAGTGATACGCGGCCGAAGAAATATGCTGTCCATCCTGTCCAAAGGTTCTTCCACACCATTACTCAAGCCTACAATGAGAAAGATAGTTATATTAAATATACAGAATGTGTCGGAGAATGCGAAAAGAATAACGGTAATCCCATTATAACCTGCTATACTGGATGCTATAAAGTATAAATGTCGAAATTCGGATTCTTCGCTGCCCCAGATAAATTTCACTTCGTTCGCATCGTCGGACTTGAGAAAGTATAACAGATCGTTCACATTGATCCAAGTTGGATTCTGTTCCGAATAGATCACTTGAACGCTCGCTGACGTGGGCGTAAAATGATTTTCCGTATTATACGTATTCGGTGGCGGTTCGCAAAAGTTGTCTATCGACAATAGGACTAACTCGAGTTTCTGTTGCTTTCTGTCCAACAGTTGCACCCAGACGCTACGCATCAAATAAAATAACGCATTACCAACTCTTATCAATTAATACAACATAGTTTTTTTCGTTCTTTGAACTTACTATTGAGCGTCGGGAGTCCAACCCACTCTCACCATGTATTCCATCCAAGGGAACATTATGTGAAGAGGATACTGAAGCTCTAGTATTTCGATATCGACGATCTGTAACGATTCCGTCAAACGAAACTGCACCATCTTCAAATTACTTCTAGCATTCGGCATACCGGCTCTAGGAAATCTAAATTCGTCCACCTCATACGAATTCGCCGAAGGGAAACAATATATCTTAACGTCACTCTCATCCACTTCTTCGTACACTATTCTGTAGATGCCATCGTACATGGACTTTGGCTGCCACCAATAGCCGATATACCTAAGGCAAACGAAACAGTTTATCTAATTTTCGCATTTTTTAGTATGCGAGTGTCCAGTAATAAAGGGACCAACCTTGTAAATTCTTCCTGCATGACGTAAGAAGGAGTGCCGGCCGAAAGTGGATCATCCATGAGATTCTTACCTCCTTTCTTAGCATGAGTTAATCGAACTGAGGATCCTGTGATGCTGTGAGATAAATATAGATCTCCCGAACATGTGTGAGCAATCAAAGCGTTGTTCCAGGGACATATCTGAGGACATAGTTTTGCTCCTGTGGTAGACATTCTGATCTCCGATGGAAAAAGTGGTCCAGGCTGGTGGAAAGATACATATGGTTTAGATGTTTTGTTCTATTATATAATCACAATAATACATATATTACCATGAATCCAGTGTCCACACATTGATAAAGACTGCTAGCAGCTGGAAAGACTAATTTTCCACTCTCCGCATGAATCTCATAACTGGTTATGCCCCATGTAGCAAGCCTTTTCCTTTCCCACAACAATTGTTCCTCCTTCGATAGTCTATTTGTGCTTGATACACTGAAATTATTGCACGACAAACTCTATTATCTCTATACGATAGATAATACAGTCAAATGTCTTAATCTATAACAGTATATACCTTTGGAAATTTGCTTCGATGACAGGCTGCCAGTGTAGACGATAACCATTGGCATGATCCGCATGTGCAATGTCTACATACAAAAGCGTGGTCTCCCATCCATTACTCGGAGTACTAAGGAAATAGATTCTAGTTCTGAAAAAAAAAAAAAAAAAAACAAGAATGAGTGCGTTGCGAAACTTAAACTTCTAGGCTTCTAGGAAGGATCTCTACGCGGATTCCTCACCGGCCATCCGGAAGTGAACGGAAAGTTATGGACCCGGGCACGGAGCCGGCGGACACGCCGGACAGTTTCCTCCTGAGATCGCTGACAACAGCGCGGAGCTCGGACCAGGACTTCCTCGGTACCGTGCTGTCGGGAGTAGCTTGCTCCCCGCCCGCCTCGTTGCCGCTCGTGGTCTCCATATTCTCCATACGTTGCCGCCCGGTCTTTATCGCGAGGTCCCTCGTCGTCGAGCCGGCACGTCCGTCATGTCGAGCGAGTCGGACGTCTCTCCTGACGGAGGAGTCGACGTTGGGAACGGGAAAAAAATGTCTCGAGCGCTGTCGAGCGCGAGATGTGTATTTGATTTTTAGGTTATGCACCGTGCGTTGCCGCGCCGTGACAAAAGGCTCGCTTTCACCGTCTTCTCGCCCGGCCTCACGCTGGCCTCCTCGCTGGCCTCCTCGGCGCTCCGTCTCTCCCTTCTCTTTTGCTTCAGCGCGCGACGTAAAATTCCCAAAATCGAGTGCTCGCACCGAATCGCCGTCGTCGTCGTCGTCGTCGTCACCACCACCACCATCGGCATCACTACCACCACCTCCTTCACTATGTGTATCCACCACCACTATTATTGTCATCATCGCCACCGCGCCGCCACCGCGCGATTTCTCGCGTGCCAAGAGCGGCGAAGCGAAGATTCGTCAAAGATCGAACTGTCATATCGCAGATATGACAGCGGCATGACCCACGTCGTCATCCTCGGTTCATATCAGTCGAGGAGGTGGTGCGTCGCGACGCAGCTGATTCGCGTATGTCGCGGGCGGCGAAACACGTGAGACGGCGAAGCACGTGAGGAAGCGAAGCATGTGACAGATGTGTATGTGTGTACGTACACATGTGACGCATCGCGACGCCGCACGAGCGGAAGTGATAACGGAGGGAATAAGCATTCTGATCGCGCGCAATATTAATGCATTCGTGTAAATCATCTTGAAAGAATATATGTTTTTTTAAAATGTTATTAACGTTCCGGTTCACATCGATCTATGCGAAGCTAACCGCCTTGCTGCTCCTTTCGGCATATTCGTAAGATTCAGAAGCTCCTCCATTATTCTGGTTAGTAAATTGTATATTAATTCGTATATATCGATTTTTGCGATTAGGATTGACGCGAAATTTATTGGGTATTAATTATATACGCATTGATTTATGGCCACTCGATATATATGCTACTGACGTGCATTTGATTTATTGTAATTGTGTATGTAGCCGTAAAGATATCCATCTTTAAAGAATAAAAAAAGTTTTTATTATTTAATAATATTAATATATAAATATGTATATATATATATACAGTTGAAAATTTTGTATTCTCTTGTTAAAAACGGTCCCCTTTGAAATTTTTGTGTTAAATAATATTTAATACATTCATGTTTTTCATTTTATTGCTGTTGTGTTTATTAAACTCAATTATTAAAACAATTAAAAAAAAGTATAAAAAGAACACGTATAGTGCATCTATTTTTAATTTTACACTATAAATATGTTCTATATTTTAGTGTCAAGATTTATCTGTTAAAATTTATAAAAAAAATCTTAATTTTAATTTTATATAAGTATAGGGATGATAAAAAATATAAAATTAACATTTTTTAGTTTATTTTTACATTACAATCATGTCAATTTTACACAAAACTTATTTTAAGTTTACTTGAAATTTGCATTTATTTTATGTTAAAATATTAACACTTTAACATATTCGTATGTTAAATTATTCGTATGTTAAAACACGCAAATTTCTGTGAACCGTTTATACATCTGATATTTATTTTTAACACTTTAACTGTGTACAGAATATACATATGTAATGTTTTGACTTTACGGATCACGTAAATGCATTTTTACGAGAATAATATAATGATATTTAAACGAGAAAAGACTTTGCATGCAGAGAAGTATTTTAATTAATTTTAGATTACAATTAGATTAAAAAGAAGATAAAATACAATTGCAGATATTTGTTTAATCGTAATCTCTAAAGAGAGAATTCTCCACGAGATATCAAATTTTTATTTACATAAGAGTTTATTTAAGCGAAATTAATATGACAGTTATCTCGATTAAATTTATACTAAAATCTCTGATAACATGTGTAATAAGATTAAAAAGTAATAGTATTTTTTTCTTATTTAAGGGAGGCGTCTGCTTTAGGAAGCTAAATATAAGACATTTTTTGAGAATTTTTAAAATAAAAACTGCATAGCGGATTATTCTAAAACTTTTAAGGATTTATTATTAAATATTTATAGATACAAAAATTTTTTTAAATTAAAAGTATAGTTCTATAGAGATCGCTCTATGAAAATCTTCTTGCAGCCTCATTGCCGGAGCAAATTTACGAACATTCTTATATTTCTAAATTTTACTTGAAATTAAAAAACCAAAAATTTATTGTTATTTATGAAATTATATCGTCGATGAACCAATAAAATAAGACAAAAGTATAAAATTGTGATACCATATAATGAAACTTACAATTAGAACAAAAAATAGTATGATTTTCACACTTTTTACTTATTTATGCAAAAAAATTGTTTAAATTAATTTTTTTATTACTGTTAAAGGTTTATCGACAATATAATTTTATATAAGTAATAAGAAAATTAGTTTTTTAAATTTCAGACGAGATTTGGAGATATAAAAATGCTCGTCAATTTGCAACTTTGACGGCGAGAAGATTCTTCAAAGGCGATCTTTGCAATCTATATTTTTAACTAAAAAAAATTTTTATACTTGCAAATATTGAATAATAGATGCCTAAAAGTTTCCAAATAATTCGCTGTAAAGTTTTGCCAGAAAAATTCTTAAAAATCAATCATATTATTTGGTTCTCTAAAGCAGGCTTTCTCCTTAATAAAATCGCATTATTATGTTAGAATGTCACGAATTCATGACGTATGTTTGAGGAAAAAAACATTTCCAAGGAGAGGACAACTTTTGAACTCTGTACGCGCTCGCGCAGTCACGTTGGCATTATTCTTACATATTTTAATAACTAGTCGGTGGCGGCCTTTCTTTGTCGTCCCCGCGTGTTTTTGAATAATTTTCCTCGTCGGCAGCAACCTTTCGCGCGATTACGTGAAAAATCCAGTCGCTACAATATACTAGATTGGTTTTTCCTCGCGCGCGCATCTTTAAAGATAAAATTTCTTCTTGAGCAGGAAAAAACCACGATGATTCACGACGAAAGAGAGAGCGGTAAGTTTCCTATAAATCTATCCAGGTCACTATATTTGTGGACTATTTCGATCCGAGTACAGAACGATAAATACTGTCGAGTCGTCTGATAAACGACAGCTGAAATGTATGCGTGTACGTTTCTCGTTACATGTTGTTTCATAGAATATTCACAAAGATACTTCTCAGATGCGTGTATGTATGTGCACGTGTATCTCTTATATATTTTACAAAATATTTAATTTTAAATCTTATCATAGCTTCCTCTCGGGAACTTTTTTCTCTATTATTTGCAATAAAAATTTTATTTTTTTTTATTTTGAAAAAATTCGCTCTTTTTGTATCTGAAGTTTATCTCTTCTTGTTTTGAAGAAGATATACTAGAGAAATTGGAATAAAGAAATATCTATGTTCTGAAATGAATTGGTATATAACAAATGATCGAGCAAATTCCTTTCGCGCTGCAATCGAGAATTTACTTTGCATCTAATGCGGTTTCATTATTACTTATTACTACATTCATTATCGTAAATATACGCAAGTTATATACATATACCGCGAACACGTGCGAATTGAGGATAACCGCGACAGAGAAGAGTCGCGATTAACAAACGAGAAATGCGCAATCTCTTTGACAAGGCGTATGTATTCGACGTATCCAACATTCGTGGATATCTATCAGTTTATATCAATTTTATCGAAATTCATTCGTCTACGTCATCACGCAAGCGTGACATTAAAAACTCTCCACTAACAACTCATTCCGGGTAAGCAAAATATTATATTTCGATATCTCATCACTTTACATTTCACAGAAAATATATATGTATTGGTGCAATAAACAACAAATTATTAAGTCTGTTTCGGTGCAAAACCGCTGTTTATGAGATGAGAAAATATTTTTTGAATAAAGATTATAATTGAACGTTAAGACTTGTCATAAAGTTATATTTAAAGGCTGAATTAGAAATTTAACGATTATATACATCGTGTACATATGTCAATTTACATTTTCTAATATTAATAAATAATTTTAGTAGATTATTTCCAATCAATTTTGATACTTCATTTTTTTTACCAGAAACACGGTGAAATGTTTGGTGGTTCTGGATTATCGAGATGTGGTCGCGAAGCTGTTAAATCCAAGCTGTTTACATTCGAAGGTTTGAAGAAAAATTGGGAGGTGAGCCGCGTTAATACGATTTATTATTATCTCATCACTAATTTAAGAATAGAAATTGGATATTGAATTGAACTTTTAAAGAATGTAATTCTAAAATCTGCCACTTTCTTTCTTTGCCAAAAATATATCCATTTAAAATAGCAATTTGCATCAATGTTAAAGCAATATTTTTATTTTTAACGTTGTTTTGCACTAAAAAAGTGTATATATATTTATAAATCCATTCTTAATTTTCCGAAAGTTCGCTTTCATATAAAAGTATGCCTTTTAACGTTAATCAATTTAATTCTAATTCACATTCACGCCGATAATTAACAGAATATTCACTTACCTTAATCTTCTTCCCTCATCGCGGGAGACGGGGATAATTGGATTATCGGGAGATTTACCTAACAGGGGATTTAATCGCTCAAATATACGACATGTATGTACATATATATTATATAGTCCGCTCGCGCGCAAAACTGTCTCTCTTTCCTTCCTCAATTTTTATCCCTAAATGAAATTTTTATTTTAGAGAATTGTTTCGCTCTATACTCTGCACGTAACGGGATCGAATGTCTCGCTCCACACGTAGGTAGAATTCTCCGAGCAACTCCCTCGTTTGCACGAGGCCCGTATCTTTCCTGAGATACGTTCCGGCGGTGCCAAGCACCGTCCAGAATTCTCCCGGGATAGGCCGAATCCCTTTTTCTCCCTTGTCCTTTAAGTATTAACGTGGCGAATTTCGTAGGTGGTGCGGTGAAATTTTCATGAATTAATTCGATATGTAACTAACGCCTCTTTCTTTGATTCTATATAGCGATTCTGTGTTTGACAGATGACAAATAAATGTATTTTTGGATCCTTTTTGATCGAACGAAAAAATAACACGATCTCATAATAATAAAAAGATATGTTTTTATATATAATTATTTCAGAACGTCGACTCGCACAATAATTCAACGGTGAAAAAGTATCGAGCTTGAAACTAGATATCGGCCGTATTTCTCGATTGAAACGATCAAACATTTAGTATGCGTATTTCGCTATCCCTGTCGCGTATTCTTTACTCACGGAGAGAAAATCACTTGGCGTTTCTACATCACACCTTCTTTTTATTTCGTTTTCCATTGGAGAAATCGTGGAGCGAAACTATTCGACGGAAATACGAGGAGAATTACAGCGGTTGTTTAGTTGGAAAATAAATAGACAGGTGCATTTTAAAAGCAATATCGTTCTTTCCAAGAGCGCGCATTTACGAGATAATCCGATGAAACCAGAGAATCTACAAAAAAAAAGGAAGAAAAAAAAATTGAAAAGAGTAGAAAGAGGTAACTCTTGCGCAATGGTACGTAAGTGATCAATATCGACGATACGCGATATTTTTTCGTTGAAAAAAGGAAAAAAGAAAAGGGGAATTATTAGTCGCTTTCCGATTCTCGAGGAATGCTCGCAGTCCTCCGGAATCACTGGCTTTTGGCCTCCAGCGAGGGATCTCACGTAGTAGTTGGCATGCAGAGCCGACCCGCGGGCGTACTTTACTCACTTCAACTTTTTCCCCATCCCTTTCTCATCGTCCCCGTCGCTCGAACACCCTGTCCGAGCCCGCTGTGTAATGCAGCCAGCGCTTTATTGAATATTTCGCCGCGGTAAAATGATAAAGAAATCCTCGGCAAGCTTCCTCGGACTTATGTGGATATAGAGCCGCCACGGCTTCCGAAACGAAGAGATGGAGCGTGCTTCCGGTGTCGGCGAACAGCTGCCGTGAGACCTCGATCGTTGATTACGAGTCTAGGAGAAAAGCGTTTTGTGTGCCGCTTTATGCATGACAAAATCAGTTCTTATATATTTTATATATAAATTCGAGATAAATAATTTAGTCTGAAATTTTTAGCCACTCATCACATGGATTGTTTGGAAGATACGCGATTAAACAATTAATTTCTCAGGAACATGAAAATCTCTGTTTGTTACATGTATCTCTGCAACCGCACACGCGCGATTAAAAAATTAATTCCTCAGGAACATGAAAATCTCTTGTTACATGTATCTTTAATAAGACGTATATTTGACGCGTGTTATTATATAAAAGTAAAAAATGTATACAAAGTAAAAATTTTATACGAATCTCTGAATATATAAAAGTAAATTTCTTCGTCATAAAATTTTGATATCTTTGACACGCACGTTTCATTTTTTGTGTAAAGAATATTCTTTTTATATAGACTGTAGTTTCGTTATTGTTTGGTATCTGTGCAGTTGTTGATAAATTTCATTTCTTTCTCTCCATATAAATGTATAAATAATATTCTCTCGCATAGATAATATTCCTTATACCTTCCAAGATGTAACGTGAGTGGAATGATAGCAAAAGAAATTTCTCCTATAAGTCTTTACGATTATGGCTGCAAGACCATTCGAATGATGTGGCGGTGCAAATTTTTCCAACGTAATTGTTGATACAAAATTTAATATTATCAACATGATGTATATTTTTAATGCTTTCGGTGTCGCATATCAATTGATTACATTTGTGACATATTATATGTATACTTATCAAGGTATTATACATATGTAAATCTCGAGACGAAATCAACTCTTAAATTCTGATATCTTCCTTGACTTGAAAATATTATTACTGATTATACTTTGGTAATTTAGACAATCTCCAATATAAAATACGAAAGAATATTTTCGCATTGTATGACATTCTAATTATATCCATGGCCACTTCTGGAATCGTCTCATTATTCTAATGAACCAGCTACTCGCTGCGATGTCGGTGTACGTCCAAAGAGAATATATTATGTGAAAATTTCAAGGGTCTGGACGATGCTGTAGAGAAGACGACATTTTCCGCAGCACAGCGAAACGTTTCAAGCGCCTAGACTCCCAACGGTATCCACTTCAGGTATAACACGTATAGTCTCGTGTGTAAAGCGATTTCAATATCGAAGGATACAGACACTCGTGCGCCAAATTAGAAATTCGTCCCATTCTTCTTGCACCATTGTTCCTCGATCTACCTGTAATTTTTTCTGACGAAAAGGAGAACTCATAAAAAAAAAAAAAAAAAAACAACTTGAGGTAACAATCAAATATGGGGCTGGCGTCGATTTTCTGTTTAAGGGGAGACGGAATTTCCGGAATAGCTTTTGGGTACGGAATAGGATAGGGGCTGCACTTTAGTTGACACGGGCGTATGTAACGCGTGCCCCTAGGGAGTCGCAATATCGATCTCTCTTCTTTCCCTCGCAGCTTCCCTCCTCCTGCATCCGTTCGTTCCGCGGCATATCAACAGCGGACAGCTAGAATTGTGCAAACCTAATGGAATATATGCCTTCCGAGAAGCCTGTCGTTCTTTCAGCGAGTATGCTAGCTGGAAATCCGCGCATCCATCGATTAAATATTCAGGTCTAAAAGGAAAAAGAGGAACCTTTTTGATTAAAAAAGAACATGTACATTTTTCAATAACTGGGGATTTTTTTTTTTATCCTTTTGAATCTCCATTTATGATATTCGAGTAACAATAATGAGAGGAAAATTAAGGGATGTTTTAAACTGGATGAATCTGGCTCTGAATTTTCATGAAATTTTTGACGTAAACCTGCAAAGCTTTTCTCGATTACAAAAGTTCCCTGAGTGTTCCAAATTGAAAAATCGAGCGTATCTTCAAAATCTACCAAATAATACAATTTCATTCAATTTCATCGGATTCAAAGGATCGTGGGAGCATAATAAAGGATTTTACACGACATATGTTGATTAAAATATATGTATATGTATATATGTACATATTATTTATAGCGATAATAATAATATTATTGGTATAATAAAATTAATATACGGTATAATAGGATAATATCAAGTGATTCCCTCACGAAAAGGGAACAGTTGACGATTCGTTGCTACTGTGATACCTCCCGAAGACGACTTATAGGTGTGCTTTAGCTAGCTCTTGCTCTTCTCGTTGTTCTTCACTTTCGTCGCGTTGTAGAATCCTTGGAAAGGGTAGACAGGTAGGTGTCTTTTTTTGCGACACTTACAGCCTCTCTGCGACGTACGCTGTTACGATTTTGAAAAAAGCCCTTGATCATCTCCAGGCAGCTAAAACTTTGATTAAACTTGCAAAAGGTATCGATCTCGCCGGCGATATATATTTATATCATTTAGAGAATTAAATATCACTATTGTATAGAGCCCAAGACCTCGCAGGGTTCGATATGCCGTGATCTGTACAGTTAACACGTCGACTATCCGCGATCGCAATTTACGGGAGAATTTTGCTCCTCCTTATATAAACAATCCTGAATGTTCTTGCGGGATTCGTTCTGCTGAACACGAATACACATATCGGGATAGTCGACGTATCAATGGAGACACAACCACACGCGCGCACAAGCAAAGACTACTATTACATATTACAGTCTATCATTACAATTACTTTCCGTCGTTTTAGAGTCAACGAGCTCGGAATCTCTTTTGTATCGGGTACGGTAATATTACCGGCCCTCTACGAGGTTTCAGTTTATTCAACTTAGTTAGTATATCATCTAATCTAAAATCATCTCATTCTCATATGCGCGAGTCTTATGAGTATGGTATATTACTATTGTATATGCACGATTTGTACTTGGAATAAATATATCAAAGCGTTCATCTATCACTAGCTCCCCTAGTGCTTGTGAACATGATGCACACGACGGATGCATCGAGAAAATATTTAGAATCCTTGGAGATTGTTCTTTTTCCGCGCGTCTCGGGTCTCTGGCGCCGTCTTTATCCGTGAAAATACAATATAACTGAGTAATACATAGTTTTCTACTTGGTGGTTCACAACGCGCTTTTCCTTTTCCCCGATGCGTTCTTAAGCGTGATATGGAAAATACAATGCAATTCCTGTGACAGACGTCGTGGTGATTAACAAGAATAGGATTACTACACTGAAAAACAAATTTATTCATTTCGAATATTTATTTCAATACTGCCTAATAAATAACTTATTTGAAACTAATAAT